CGCGGCCTAGTCGGCGCAGGCGCCTGGGCCGGCGGTTGCCATGGCGACCGGACGGGCCTCGCGGCCTACTCCGAGCTTGCGCCGGCCTCCCTCACCGGTCTCGGAAGGAGGCGGGCCGCCCACCCGCTGCTTCTCCGCGGGTGGCGACGGGGGGACAGGCAGGCCTCTCCCGCGCGCCCTTCGAAGCCTTGAGCTCCATCTCCCCTCCTCCTCGGCGGCCCACGATCAGGATGAGCTCTGATTGACCCTGCTCTCCTTCCTGACGTCGAGCGGCCCTTTCCTCGCAGTCCTAAGAGGATGGACTACAGGTCCCATCGTCGCCCTCTTACGGGGCCAGGTGGCTGGGAAGGATGGGGAACTGAGTAACGCGTTGAAAGCCGCAAGAGACAGAAGCAGGGAAGAGGACTGCCTGCCTTTCAAGTTTGAAACTCCTTGCTGGGAGTCGTCTGAACCCGGCCACTTGGCTCAGCTTCTGATTCTTCACCCCACACGCTTAGCCTGACCTGCTGGTGGCATTCGCACAGCACCCAAAGCTTCCTTTTAGCCCTTTGATTGGCTTATGCAGAAACAGGGGGTGCCAACCCAGCCTGTTGGGCCAGCGTTGTGTGCACACCCAAATGGCTTAATTCACCAACACTGGTGTGGGCCAAGGGACGAAACGTGCACCGTATGTCAGGAGACAGGACTGATATCTTTTACGGGTGCAAAAAGCTGGGATTGGTATCATGAGGTCACCATGCACATTCCCGTTTCTTCAACACCATGGTTTACAGTAGACGTTTGGCAATGCAGCTCCTGAACTGCAAATCAACCCTGTTGGCTGAGTTCACACAACTTGCAGAGACACGAGCTAGCCAACCGTGTTTCAGCCAAGGACAGACAAATCCAGCCTGTGCAATTAGTTGCTTGGCTGGGTTGTTGTGCAAACCCAGAGAATTGGATAACTTAAATAAAACACAGTTCCATTAACTGGACAGACATGTGAACACAGTCTATAACTGTGTTTTCCAATCTGGGCAACATTCAGTTGTGTGGAAATCAACTCCCAGAATTCCCCAGCCAGTATGCTGGCTGGGGAATGCTGAGAGTTGATGTCCACACATGCTGGCTGGGGAATTCTGGGAGTTGGCCTGAGAATGCAAGAGGCTTTACAAATTGGAAATTGAGGAATATCCAGGTTTCTCCTGAGTTTTGGATGTTCCCCCTCCAGCATGGAAGGGCAAGGACTGGCAGAGAAGAGGAAGCAGTTGAGTCAAGATGGGTGAAAAGGTGGACTCCATCAAGTTCAACGCCGTGCCCATGTAGCTTTCTTGGTAGCCGTGTGGAAGCAAGTTCGCAGCTGCCACCTTCTCAGATGGTTTTTCTTTTTACTTCCCAGCTTGGCCTACAGCCTTTCAGGTTTCCTGGTGGTCTCCCCTCCTAATCCTAACCAGGTCAAAAGCTTGTAATCATTGCTCAGCCTTTCCAGGAGCAGTTCTTTTCCTTGAAATCTCCTCTTGAATGAGGCCTTGGCCTTCCAAGGCCTGAAGCGAACAGCGAAAGGTGTTACCTTGCCACATCCTAGCATATAGCAACTAGGGAGAATCAGTCACTGGAGCAGGGAGCCATGATTGGCGCTCCATAGCCTACTTCAAAATAATTTCCGTGGTTTTAAGCAGCTTAATCAATCTCCTTTAACAGCGACCATAATGCAGATTTTTACCACCCTGCCCGTGAGCCTAAATCCTCCTTGAGGAGTTGGGCTACAGCCTGTGTCGCCCCCGGGTAGCGAGCCCACTCACTGGTGGGTGGGAGTAATGGGACTGGTAGGCCCAGGTTAGGGACAGATTGTCATGGAGAAAATCTGTGTGGTTGATAAGACTCAACACTGACTTCAGGGCCCCTAATCCCTTGAATCAACCAGGAGGGCACCAGGTTAGCTGCTCTAAACCTGGAGAGTGCAAGGACAGAAGAAGGGGGGCGAGAGGAAAGGGAGACCCTGCTGGAGGAGCAAATCCTGGTGGTTGGGTTGGGTTTCAGGCTGCAGTGCTAACGGATGGACGGCGACTGATGGCGCCACCGAAAGTCCAGGGCTAAACATCCGCCACTTTCGGATTTAGTGGATGGATTTTGCTGGTGCCCGATCTCTAACCCCAGACCCTTCTGGCCCTCCTGGGTTCGGTCCTTCCGTCTGCATTTTTCTTCCCATGACACGGTTGCACAGGCTTTCTTGGAGCAATACCATTTTACAATTTGGTTGCACTGGAGCAGTGTTTCTCAGCCTTCCCCATGGCTGGCTGGGGAGTTGGAGTCCACCCATCTGAAAGCTGCCAAGTTTGAGAAACACTGCACTGGAGTATTAGTGGAGACAGTACCTTCTCCCTTTTCACAATTCTGTTTTTTATTATTTCATTAGCAGTTTTCGGCACAGAAAGTATTGTGCAAGGCGTATCGCGCTTACCTACCTAAAGGCTGATCAGGGAATGAAATCTGGATTTCCGACATCCAAAGTTGGCCCTTCATCCACGGCAGCGCTATACTGGACTCTTGGTAACTCTTATTTCTATTTCTGGGAGGAGTTAAGAAATCTTCATTTCTCTTCCCCAGTCTATTTTTTGTTCAGTTCTCAGAGAGAAAAAGAGGAGATATTGTGGAATACAGTTCTTTAGCATCACACATGCATCCAGACAAGATTTTTCCCATTCTTCTGTGCCTTGCCTTGACAGCTTTCTCTGGCCAGAACTCCCCGTGATGGATGATTTGCTGCAGAAGTGGCCTCCGAATATTTGGCAGCCCCAAATGGGAGCAGGGAGGGGTGTCGGGCTGGAGGAGGATGACTGTTCCTGTGGGAAGAAGCCAGCAGAACTTTTGATGAACTGGCAACTCTGCTGCACGGAGTCCTAAATTACGTTAATGTAATTAAACTGGAGCACTTGGTTCATGAGAGGCATCTGCTAAATGCGTAGAAACAATAAAAGTGAGAAATTGTGGCTTCTCGGAGACTCATGCCTGCCAAAGAGCCAAATGTCATTTAGGAGATTATAAACTCTTTTTGGCTTGATGGGGACCCTCCTTGCTGCCCAAGTCACGCTGCTGGGAAAGGCTTGGAGTATAGAACTGGGTCATAAAATCATAGGGTGGGAAGGGAGGTCTTCTGGTCCACCCCCCTGCCCATTTCACCCCAGTTTAAATCCTAGGTTCAGTCTAGCCACTCTGGGCATCTGATGAAGTCAGCTGCAGCTCACACAACCTACACCTTTGAATAAAAAGTGTGAGAAAAGGTGCTACAGGTTGTCCTCACTGAACAACCATTCATTTAGTGACCATTCGAAGTTACAACTGTGCTGAACAAATGGACTTACAACCGGTCCTCACACTTACAACCATTGCAGCACCCCCATACTTATAAGAGTTACAGCATCCAAGGGTCACATGATCACCATTTGCAACCTTCCCAGCTGGCTTCCGGCAAGCAAAATCAATGGGGAACCATATGATTCACTTAATGACCATGTGTTTCGCATAATGGCTGGGGTGATTCACTTAATGACTGCCACAAAAAAGGTCGTAAAATCAGGCAGGACTCACTTAACAGCCACCCCACTTAACAACAAATTTTCCAGTCCTTATTGTGATTGTTAAGTGAGGACTACCTGTACCTGATTTTTTTTTTTAGTTGAGAGCCACAGTTGTTTGTTACCACTACTAGTTTTCATAATTCTTATTTTGGAGAGATGAGGTTTTAGTGCCCAGGTCATACAACCCGTTTGGCTAAAGCGTACTTGGGTATTTGGTGACCCAAGTTCTCATTAACACAATTAGCTAACAGGATCAAAGGTGGGGCTATTGTGTTGTGCAAGCTCCTTGTGGGGTGGGGAGGGTTTCTGGTTGTTATTTATACTGTGTTTTAGTTTTGGTTTTAATCCTTGTTCACCATCGAGAGTCACTGAATTGTGAACTGAGCAGCTGTGTAAATCTTTTAAATAAATAAATAAATGAGGTGTTTGGTACTGTATGAAACTTAACTTCTAGTTAGCCACGTTATATCAAACAAGGAGAAGAGAATTAAGGGCGGCTTAGACTCCCACCGCCCCCTCTTCCTGCTGCTATGAGAGTCAAAAGCCCTAGAAATCTCACTGGAGCTGTCTGTCTATCCTAAGATATTAGCATATATGATACTACCACCCAGGGCTTCCAATTAATAATAATATTAATTAATATTAATGATAATATTAAGTTAGTAGCAAAGTGCATATGATGGAGAGGCAATTTCATTAAGTACCTATGCCAAAGGCAGGCTGTCCCCTTTCCTTGCTCTTTTTCACCTGCTTTCAGGCTACCTGTAGTTGGGGAGACATCTGTTTTTGATTTGTATATTTTGATTGATTTTAGGTCTCAAGCATGTGCTTAGGAATAAGCCCTGGTGAACTTAAACAGGCCTTCCTTCTGAGGAAGCATTGCAAGACCGCATTACAATTTTGCTTTCACATTTTGTACGGTAGTCTGAGAAAATTATGGAAGGCTGGGATCTACAAACACCTAATCATGGATAGCCATAATCGTGGTTTGGAGATTTTATAAGGTTCTTTGGGGATATCAATAGAGAGAGTAGTTTAATCAGGATTTCGCCCAAGCGCAGACATCGCGGTGCATGTTACTGATTTCCATTTAAATCCTTTGGCGCTCTCTTCTTACCAAAATCCGAGATGACGCCTCTGCTTTAAAAGTCAGATTTC